AGCGGGAGGGGGGAGGAGGGAGGCGTGGGTAAGCCCCGGACGGTGCTGTCTCCCCCGCAGGTATGTCACCCACCTGATGAAGCGTATTCAGAGGGGACCCGTCCGAGGTATCTCCATCAAACTGCAGGAGGAGGAGAGGGAGAGGAGGGACAACTACGTCCCCGAGGTGAGGCGCTGCCTGTGCTCGGGTGCCCGCTCTGGCATCTCTCTGGCCTGCCTCGAGGCGTCTTATCTGTTAGTGGCCCCAAATCTCTTTAAACCGAAACCTCAGCCAGGAGGTGCCGAGAAGGGTTTGGGGTGGAAGGGGGCTGAGGTAGATTTTGGCCTTGCATCGGGGCACTTCCTCCAGAGCTGCTGCCTGGGGTGGGAGGAGCAGCTGACTCATTGCGTTTCACCTCCGCTGCCGGTTGGCAAACGATGTTCCTCCTCGGTGCCCTGACTTAAAATGAGGAAAAATACAATTTGATGGGATGCAGGAGGGTATTTCAGGGTGGCTTAAACCCCATTGTTGCTGAAGAGATGGAGTTGGTGAAACCTCCTCTCATCTTGAGCCCACGTTCACAAGGGGTTGCGGTCTCACCCGTGACTTGGTCGTTGGTAATGTAGGGAGAGGAGCTCCAAAAGTGTTTCCTGGGTTCAGTGGGTCTGGTCCCCCCTCTCCCAAACCCCATAGCCTTCAGGCGCGGCACTTCTCGCCCCTCGTCCAGATCTCTCCCTGCTTGGCTTCTGGTAGAGCTGCTGGCTTCTGTGCCGCACCAAGAGTCACGGTTTGGTTCCCTCGGCTCCCCCGAATCGTCAGTGCTGGGGTTTCCTTAGGTGCGAGGTTATTTTAGCGATGATCTGGGAGGAGCGGGTACAATGGTGGGATGTCCCGCCAGCCACAGCAGGGTGGGCTGGTGCTGTCCCCCTGGCCTGGAGATCTGCCTCGGGGGTAGCTCCCTGGGCTTTGCCGCCTTGGTTTCGTAGCCCAAGGTGAGGTGAGGTGGCCCCCAACAAGAGACCCGGGGCTTGGTTTGATTCCCTCGCTCCTGGCAGCTGGAAATGATGTGTGAAACACCGGCAGCTCCGTGCAGATCCTCTCACCAGTGCCTCAGTGCCCCAGATTTTGGGTGTTGGCCTGGTGCTGAGCTTCACATCTGGTGTTGGAGGCTTGGAGAAACCACCTGGGGCAACCAAGTGTTGCACATAGTGACCTTCCAGCTGCTTTTGGAAGGATGGATGAGGTGGTGCTGGGGGGAGAAGTCACCCCTGGGGGACCTCGAGCAGGGGAGGAGCGTCTGTGCTGTGGCTATCGGTGCAGTGTCAGCTGAACCCGCCTTATGTACAGTTTCGTACAAAAATAACAGTGTGGCATAGCCTCCTGGGGAAGGAAGCACATGGAGATCAAGGTTTGGGGCCTGGAGAAGGTTGGAGGGGGTTGCTCAGGAGACCTCAGGTCCCGGGGCTGGGACAGCCCGGGTGGTCGCTTGGCACGGCAGTGGCTGGGCTCCGGCCTTGGGGACTCGTGTTGCAGGACAAGGGCGAGCATCGGTGGTGATCACCATGAGCGGTGCCATGGTGGACCTGACCCTGGCTCCTCTCAGCAGCGTTGGCATGGTGCTGGTTGGGCCTCGGGTTTCTGAAGACTTGCCATGAAAGAGGCTCGGTTAGCCTCTCACGGTGTTCTGACAGAGTTGGACTCCTATCAGGGTCCTCCTGGCTTGTTCTGTTGCTGGAGCCCGCCCCTGCCACAGGCAGCGAGATCTTGTTTGCAGTGGGACTGGATTGGGTGTGTGGGGACACCCTGGTGGCAGCAGGGATGGGGCCTTGTTCAAACCGCGTCCGTTTTCCCTCTGTCCCCAGGTCTCTGCCCTCGACCAGGAGATCATCGAAGTGGACCCAGACACCAAGGAAATGCTGAAGCTCCTGGTGAGTGGCCCCAGGGGCAACCCTGGTGGCATGGCCACAGCAGCCATCTCGCTGCCCAGAGGGGCTTGATGGCGAAGGCTTCAATGCCCTGGGCAAGCGGCAGGGGTCCCTCCGCCCTGGGATGGTTCCCATACGCTCTGGGGAAGGGAGGGGCAGGGTGGGCACGCTCCTTGCCCTCCCCTTCTGCCACAGCACCCCAGGGTGCTGATGCAAGAACCTCGTCAGCTCTTGCTGGGTGGAGGTGAATGGGGGGGTTGCTCGTAAAAACACCCAATTCCCCCCCACTGATGAGCTGATCCCCGGAGCGGTCGTCTCCCCTTCTTTCTGGGGACGTGAATCCACCCCTCCTGCTACCGCAGCACCTTCTCCCCACTCCTCCCGGGAGGAATCTGCCTCTTCCCTCGGATGGTGGGCAGGGCAGTCTGACCCATCCCAATCCCGTGCTGTTTTCCAGGATTTCGGCAGCCTGTCCAACCTGCAGGTGACGCAGCCCACAGTAGGGATGAACTTCAAAACGCCCCGAGGAGCTCTCTGAGTCGGTCGCTGTGTGTCACATTTCCAATAAACGTGGGGAAACCATCTCAGCCTGCCTGGTCTTTGGAAGCCCGTGTCCCTGGGGATGAGGAGGGAGAGGGCTGGTTCCTTGGAGTGTCGCATCCCAGATACGGGGGTCCAAGGCTTCAGAGGTCACATTTGCCAGCATCTTTTTGGGTTCTTTCCTGCTTGTTTGGGGTGTGAGGCGCAAAGCTGTTATTTTACAGGTTCTGGACAACTGTGGTGGCTCCTCGGAGTATGCTGGAGCTCCTCGGTGCCTTCAGGTGTGCTTGTGCTTCCTCCGAGTGAGTAGCTTGGCCCTCCAAGGAAAACTGTTCACAGCCGCATCTGGAATCCCCCGGTACAAATAAAAAAAACAAAGGGTTTGTGTTTAGGGGAGGAATGTCTGTATTTAAATTTGCTGTGGAATTTGTTTTCAATAGTTACTTAAAGAAGAAAATGTTTACAGGAAAGGTAGCCAGGTATTTAAACATAGATTTAATGTGTGGAGCTGCAGTCGGGATAAACCGAGCAGGGATTGTTTCTAAATCCTGAGTGCTGCAGAGATTTAACTCAGAATTTGCAGCTTGATGCCACCAATCTCTTGGCTATTCAACTAAAACACAGAACGCAGACCGACGGGTAAAGTAACATCAAAATAACATTGATCCGCAGAAAAACGCAAGCAAGGAGGAATCCCAGCACCCGACTACGGGACTGAATTCCCAAAGGCAACCAGCAACGCTCTGGCAGTGAAGTTTTCGAAGCAAACAGCTGCCCATTCCTTAGAATTTTCTCTTCATTTTAGTCTTCACATCTGAGTAAATGTTAATTTCGTTCTGAATCCAATACACCGTGTAGCCTGAGGTGCCGGGAATGAAATCGCGGAGCTCTCCGACGTATTTCCTCATGTCGCGAGCAGAGGCGTAGCCTACAAAGGGAAAGCATGGGTCTCACCAGAGGAGCTGCCCTCTTCTCCCATGAAACGAGGACGATGGAAAACACGAAGCGCAGAGGAGAAGGGAGCAATCCCAGTCACACCCCCAGCCCTTCCGCTGCTCTAAGTACCGGGAGGAAGTGAGGAGCATGCAGAGCAGGGGGGGTCCCTGCTTCATCTGTGGTCGCTTTCAGGCATATTTTCCACTCCTTAAAAATCTACTGAGCCCAACGTTACCTGTCACCATGTTACTCATCGGGTACTCCTGGAGGGCGCGGTATGGAAATTCCCCCTGGGCAGGTGCTCCGGATCCTGTGTCTTCTTCACTGCTGGATCAGAGAGAAGCAGGGGGAAATCTGTGCGTTATTTCCTATGCGTTGGGGATCTCTTGAAATTTGGGGGTGCGTTCAAATCCTACCACCCAGGGCAGGAAAATACCTTTTGGCCAGGTCTAGTGCATCCTCCTCCTCCTCTTCTTCCTCACAGCCTTTTCTTGCCGTCTCCAGTTTGTCTGTCAGGTTTTCATTGGGCTGCGAGAATCAACAAGAGTTAACATTCTGCTCTGCGTACCCTGCAGAACACTAGAGACATGGTCTGAGAGCGTGGTGGCTTTAGGACTTGCAACTTCAAGCATGATTTACAATACAATTTTAAATCTAATTGTGTTTTCGCTTCAAAATTACCAAGAAATTGCTTTGAGAACAAGGGGGAAGGAAAATGCTGTGCAGAGCAGCTGAGCTTGGACCTTGGTGATGGGCATCCCTGGAAGGAGGTGCCAGGGGACTGGATGTCTGTCTGGGTGAGGGAGAAAACCCTCCCACGTGTCCCCTGCTCAGTCCGGTGCTGACCCCCTGGGGAGGTCACGCGGGGAGGGACGCGCACAGCACAGCAAGCACAAGAAGATTTGATCCCATGTTTGGGCTGAGGGTCTGGGATGAAAACCAGGTTCCCTGAAGGTCACACAACCAATGTATTTATTTTTTTTTTAAGCTACGTCTCCTGTAGTATCAATTTCTCATCTTACCTGCCCTGCAAGTGAATCATCCACCTGCTCCCAGGTAAAATGACCGATTTTCCTTCTGATTTCTGCCACGAACAAAAAAAATAAATGACACTGAGAGCATCACATAATGAGATGTGCTAGTCCCTGCCTCTCACAGGGGCTATAGCGAGCACGGCTGGGAGACCTGGCAGGAGCTCGCTGCATGGCGCTGCTCGCTGATGGAATATAAAAGATGGAGCATCAGGAAAAATTCCTTCCCCAAAAGGGCTGTCAAGCATTGGAAGGAGCTGCCCAGGGAAGGGGTCAAGTCCCCATCCCTGGGGGTACTTAAAAGCCGGGCAGACGAGGTGCTTAGGGCCAGGGTTTAGTGGTGGGATGGCAGGGTTAGGGGAACGGGTGGGCTTGGGGATCTTAAAGGGCTTTTCCAACCTCAACGATTCTGTGATTCCTCTCTCCCCGGGGAGAAAGGATCACTCCCAGCAGAGGGAAGTTCCTCCACCCGCAGGAGAAGAACCTGGAGGTTCTTGTTTGCACCCCCAAAAGGCTGCACTCACAGGGGAAACCCCCAAGGGAGCCAACCCCTGATGGTTTTTTTCCCCCACTGCCACCACCTTCTTGCAGGCAGGCGGGTGGCAGGATGAAGTGGCCCAGAATCACTGATGGCTTCGCTCCCGTGCCGGCATTTGCCCATGCAGAGAGGTAACAGGAGTGAAAGACCGTAGCTCTGCCCTCCAAGTAATTGAGGCTCTCATGTATCCTAGAAGAGAAAGAGGCAGCTGGTTTCCAAAGGTAAGCCTGAAAGAAATCCAAAACAAAAACACCTGAAGGAGTTTTGGTTGTTAACACTGACCTGCTCTGATTCTTTTGCCAAAAGCACCCAGTTTTCTGTAATTTTCTAACTATGAGACTCTGACAGCAAGGTCCCATTACAGTCCCGGCTGCCAGCCCCTCCTGAGAGCAGCCTGGAGGAAGGACGTGGGGGACCAGGTAAACACCTATTTTTAGGGACTAAGTGGCACCGCCCCACAACCTGCTCTCCAGACCAGACTAGTTCTTCAAGGAGTGGGAAAATGTGATTTTTATTTATTTATTCTTAACCCCACTGGTCCCTGCTCAGGTTCACGGCACAGTCCCCAAACAGCAGCAGCACCCCAGCTGAGCAAGGAAGGGTGGGCGGAGGATGCTCAAGCAATCACCGCCCTCCTTACAGGGGAATTAAATATTGTCAGGTTTAAGGGTAAGGATTACATTTTTCCAATAAATAATCTGAAAAAAAATAAATATATGTAATTCCCCCTGGGGGAACCACCCTGTCGAGAAGGGAGGTTGTCACTCTGGGTTTCTCCTCCCAATGCTGGCATGGGTGGCTGAAGGATTACAAAAACCTAAACCAGTTTTAAGCAGTTGTGTTAAAGGAAGCTGCTTAGTCCAGCCTAGCAAAGCCTGCCGCAGAGCACTGCGAGAAAACATTGTGGTTCCCTTTCAGGTAAATACATTTACGTGATATTGAATATATATAAATATTTGCTGGGTGGAGGAAGATGCGCCATGGTCTTTCCTTATATTTCTACAAACATTGTTGAGTGCTCTGATTTTATATTAAGCAAACAGATGGAAAGTAGCAATTCAGCCCTTTTCCAGCCATTTTTGCCCCCGTGTTTGCTTTCACAGAGTTAACTCGCGCTGCTTTTTTTGCACCTGGTTCCTTCCTCAGGGATAGTGTCGCCTCTATTTTAGACCCCGAGTTTTCCAGCGGATCAATTCAAAGGTAGCAAGGAAACCAGCACGATTAGTTTAATTCACATCAGAGTTAAGCCAGCCTAATGCGTGGTGGTTTTTACAGCCGTTTTCTCATTTGCCTAGGTATGGTTTAGCGTGGGGGTGAGTTTTCAGACGAAGCAGTAAAAGCCCGGCAGACCAGTACTGGGGACTTAGAAACACCACCCTGGCTTTTAAAAGGATGTCAGCATCCCCTAAGTACTTTAAATACATTAAAACCGTTATCTCTGCTTTATCTTTCTACATCTAACCACAAGTGCAACTGCAACCCTCCAGCATGCTGCGAGCGTGTGATGGACACTGCATGGTGAGGGCTCAACGTGAAGGTGAAATGGGGCCCGCAGGCACCTCCCCAGCAAGGAGGGTGCTGCCGGCATGGGGGTGACACAGGGAGGGGACAGCTGGGGGACACAGCCCACCTGCGGGTGTCCGGGTGGGCAGCGTTGCTGCTGAAGAGGTAGTCGGCGTCCTGCTGGTGGGCAAGTGCCCCGCCGCCGGCCGCTGCGGGGGGAAGAGGGGGTGAGGAGGAAGGTGGATGCCCCAATGTGTCCCCACCTCGGGGTGGCCCATTGAGGGCTCTTCTGGAATTGTCCCCAGTGTGGGGGCACCATGGCCTGCCCTGGCACTGCGGGCACCCGCCAAACCCATGCTCTGCCCTGCTGGGGGGCGTCAGCCCCGCCCTG